GATAAAAAGTCCAAAAGAAGATTGCAGTGAGATCCCAACTGAAGGACATACCAAGGAATCATCAAGAGTTACACTGACTAGCAACAATGGCATTGCTGGAAAGAACCGTGAATCCAATGCTCTCTTTTTCTTGACCAAAAAAGCAGCACCAGAATGTCAACAAGAATTCAAGGAAATGGAATATCTCCCTGAACTTAAAGATATTAACCAGGCCTAAAGGATTTTAAATTGAATTACAATAAGATTAAGAGTCTGTTTGGATCGACTTTTGATTCATAAGTTAAAATCTCTAACATATGACTTTTAGCTTATTTTTATCATATAGTTTAAAATCAAACGTTTATAAACGCTAGAAAAATGCTTAAAATAAGTCTATCCAAACAGGTTCTAAAAGTTGTCCTACATTTAATTTATTTGATGTGTCATTAATTTTACATCTATATATATACACTTTAACTAAGGACGATATGGTCATTTTAATGTAATTTTGTGTTAGTTTGAGTTTTGATTTTGAGGCTTGAGAGGTTTCTAAACTTTATTCCTTGGAGCTTTAAAAGAATAAGTACGTAGTACTATAAAATACCCATCATCATTCGTGAACCAAAAATACCACGATTATTAGCAGCAACAGCATCAGGTATTTTTCCGTTCTAATTTATTTATCTAATTTTAATTTGATACAAAATTTAACAAAGTTAAGAAGATCTTTAAATCTTGTAATCTTAAACTAAAATGTATCAAAATGTCCTTTTAATTATGTGGTCTCGAACATGTCATTTTGAAAAGTTAATTAAAGAGTTTTCGGGGAAAAAAGAGACATTCTTTTTCAAAATGGATTGAAAACATTTCCGAAAAAAGAAAGGAGACAATTTTTTTTAAAATAACTAGTTAATTGAAACAGGGAGAATACCTTGTTTTGGTTCCTTACTTTATGTTTCATTGATTTTTTTTTTAATTTTCTAGTGGTCATTGATGAGATAAGAGAATGAAGTGGTTAAGTTAGTTAGTTAAGGCCATTAAGATGATCAAGGGTAGATCAGTCCTTTTGTATTGATTAGTTGTAACAAACTATCTTCAATTAGTTAGGAGTTAGTTACAATCAGCCAATTGAGCTCAATCAATTAGAGTTTCTCCAATGAGTTTGAACTTTAGCACAATACTTGAGAAAAGAGTTGTCAAGTTCATGATTTTATAGCTAAAAATGCAAATATTGTCTTTGAGCATGGTTTTATAGTTGGGAGTTGGGAGCTATGATTTGGTTCTTGAGTTCGACCTCCAACACATGATGCGGTGTTTATAGCATTTATGAGGCATGCCTTCATTGCTATACTTGGAGGCGTAAAACTAAACTTTAAACATATATCCGAATTTTTTTAAAAGGAAAGATTATCATATATGTTTTTATTTTAAGTTTAAAGAGTTGTGTGCTTGTACTCTTATGAATATTCTTTTGTTATTTAAGGTAGGATATTATTATTAATCCAATTTGAGAGTTTTTCTTCTTTATATTTGAGTGTTGGCTACATGAGATTTATTTAAGAGACCGATTCTTCTAAGATGTAAGAATAATTTATTTTTTTAATTAATTTAATATTTTGGTTCTTATTCATTTCATAATTAAAGGTATTTGGTCATATACTAATTATTATTGCTAGTTATTAATTCAATTTTGATTTAATAGCCACTCTTTCCCGAACTTTCAGCAGGACCTGACTTGAGTAACCAACATATTTTGTTGATTTATCTGTGTGTTCGAGAGAAACACAAAGAATAACATAAAGAGTCTAAGTAGGAGTTAATGTAGTACTTTTTTAAAAACTATTTTTTTTCATTTAAACTAGAAAAAAAGTAATGGATGTACTACTTTAAGTAAAATAAAAAAAATTCCTCACCACAAAAACACAACAATAACCAAATAAAGTAACTACCAAAATACAAGTATATATATATATATATATATATAAAGAAAAGACTTCAAAATACAATATAGAGAATACATTTTTAAAACAAAAGGACATAAAATGGGAAAATCAGCTCATGTAATCTTGATTGCTAGTGTTATTTGTTTATTGTCCTTGTTGGGGATTATTGAGGGGTCTAAAAATCGTGTAATCATTATAGAAGGAAGTGTCTATTGTGATCCTTGTCGTTCCGCATTTCAATCCAATCTTAGTGAGCCTTTACCAGGTATGTTGAAATTCATGAATTGTTAAAGGCGAAAATTCAAGATCTGACATTAATCAATTCTATTCAAACGTAGGTGCACGCGTACAATTGCAGTGTCATCGTCTCAAAACTAAAAAAGAGACGTTGAATTCATCAGCCATGACCAACTCCATGGGAAAATACCGCATAATTATAGAAGGAGGACACAAGAATGAGAGTTGCGGGGTAAATTTGGTAAGCAGCTCAAAAGAAGATTGTAATGTATATCCTGATTATCCCAGAATAGCAATAATTACTCTAAACGGCAGAAAAATTAGTGATGTACAAGTATATAAAGCAGCCCCTCTACGTTTCCTTACCAAAATACCCTCAACAGAGTGTGTACATGCGCAATTTATTCCTTATTATCACGAAACTAATTAAAGATAGTCTTTTTTTTTATTTTTCGAGATTGAATTGATAGAACGTAACACACTTATTTTTGAAAACAAACTAAAATACTGTACCATTTATTTTTGAACGGGAAAGTATAGATTATTATATTTTCACAGAATTCTATATATTCCATGATTAAATTACTGGCTTTTGTATGATTTTTTGGTCAGGCTAGTATTGGATCTCATTAATGCGATAAAGAAAATTAGACTAATCAAATTATAATATGATGCTTCTGATTAATTTCATAAATATTTTGAATTATCTGGAACGTCGAAGTTTGCACTTCTTTTGAAAATTTACACTATAGGATATTCATTACAATTATTGTATATTATTGATTGATTATCTATCTCAGAACCATCTCATTACATATAGGATTACTTCATTTTCAATATGTTAAGCACATGAAAATATCCTGTAGATAGGTTAAAGTGAGATCTGAATTTAGGAACATGTTGAATTGTTGATTTTATTATTTAAATGTTCAGGTTATTAGAAAGTTGATTCAATTATTAATATTTTTTTTAGTTTTAGTTTAGTTTTGTAAGGGTACCTTCTTTTTTCTCTTTTTTCCCACATTTTTCTGCTAAAACTGTATTTTGTGTGAATAAAACCCACCATCAAGTGGCATCTAATTCTGATTCTATTCACACAAAAGAAATACTTTAAGGTTGAAATAACTAAATATGCTCTAGAAGGCATTAATTTTAGACCAAAAAAAAAACAAGAATAAGGTGTATAGAGGGGCTTTATTGGAATTTCAGTATTTCTTTATTCTACAACTATACATGTGCAGTTATTTCGTTTTCTTCCTAAATTATAAAAATCCTCTTTTGGATTTCCGTTGGAAGATTATTCCCCTAAATATAAAAAATAATCAAAGCTATCATCATAGAATTTCAAATTTTGCTGATAATTTTTCAAAGAGTTTCATGAAACTTTTCAATAATAGTTATTTTTTAAAAAAAAATATATGATTGAAAAATATTTGATAGACGCTATTTCATCGTAACACCGACCTTAGAGGTCTAGGCCACTCAAACCTTCTTCAAGAGAGAATATATAGGTAAGAAATTTGAAATAATGCATATTTTGGAAGTTGGGAATAATTCTTTAACACTCATGTCACTTTTGGATCGGAAACAATTCCACCACTATTCTAAAAAAAAAATCATGAACAAGAAAGAAGAAATATTCCCTCTGGTTTAAAATTCCTTATTCGTCTTTAGCCTTTTAAGAATCAATTATATCAAAATTGTTATCAACATGTTTTTAGAACAATTTCTTGGTATCTTAAAATGGAAAAAAAATTCCACCGTACACTAAATTATATTTGTCCGTGCTTGTTATATACAAATTTTGCAATAATTTCTTGTTCAACTATTAAGTGTAATCACATAAGTAGGGCATGGATCACCCTCGAAGTTGATTCGCCGTTCTTTTGTTTTTCCACACGTCAACATCTAACTTGCCCACGTATCACGTCTATTTTAAATACTCCATAATCTATATATATAGTTATGGCCTCAAATGTATACTATTAGAACTACGCAACACACCTGCTATCATATGAAGTACCATGATTTTCAATCACTTCACTGATCACTGGACTGCATTATTATCGGGCACTTGTCCTCAATTATAAGTCTGTTTTATGGCTCGGAATTTGTTTTCACATCTACATATCATTTCTTATACGTTAGTCATCACGTAGAGGTATACTTACATATACATATATATTTAGCCAAATATAATTAGCATATATCCAATTAATTAACAATAATGCAACTATATATTCTCTTATTAATAATGTATACATTCGAGGTATCTTTTCACGTAGGTGCATATGATATACATTTGATATATATATATAATACTCAATTTCACCACAATTTATACAGTAAGTTGCGAAATATTTGACATTATTCTTTTCTATACAATACTCATAAACTTTCAAGAATTCAATCTTTCTTTGACGTGATCAATGTATCTTTATCCAACTATTTTTTTTTTCTGATTATGACCAATAAGCCAGTTAATTAATACCCTATTTTTACAATTCAAATATATTACTCCATATAAAATGAAATGAAGAGATTTATAATAAAGTCCCCCAAAAATAAGAGACATGCAATTATTGGACCAATATGATAATAACAAGTGTATGTCGGACCTTTTATGATGGGTTGTGTGGCATGCTATCTTGTCCCTCAACTCGTGATCAACATGATTGATTAAGAAATAAATCAGTGCAACTTTCAATAATACTAGTTTCTTAATTAAGAACGTAGTACTAATTAAGACAACTTTGTTTAACTAATTAAAGACAGCTTGTATATACAATCAAGGAAGTAAAGTCAGCCTGCAAATGTTTTTTTTTTTTTTTTTTTTTAACAATTTACTAATTCCACGTACATAGAATATAATTTATATAATCACTAGACGACAAAGAGGGAATCAATAAGATTGGCTATCGGAGGTGCTCCTCCTCCTCTTAGCTGCCGGAAAAAGATGCCATTGATCTTCATGAGCCACCACTCCATCAAAGTCAAGTTGATTAGCCACATCAAAGAAATTACAACCGTCTGATAATCCGGCCAAGTCGCCATGTGGGCCCGGCCCGCATGGTGGCTTGGCTTTGCGACGGCCGGCTCCTACGGGCACGTTCCGTAGGGCTCCGCCGGCCGTCCAGTATCTCTGACAACCTTTGCAGAAGTGTCTAGGTTGGTTAACATTGTAGTTGTTGAAGTAACAAAATTTGGTTTCCATGCTTTTGCATCTAGGACAAGGGATGATCTTGTCTGGCCTTTTTTCTTGATCATTATCATTATCATGATCATCATCATCATCAACAACTTTGTTTGTTGGTTGATGAGTAGTTTTGGCTTGTTTTTCTTGAATTTGTATTGTTGCACCAAACAATTTGATGCCTTGAGAGATGGGACTTTCTTGAACTTGAGCCATATTTTCTTGATGCCTTTGGTGGGGGTAGAGGCAAGTAAATGTTTGTATATGTTTTGATGTAGAGAGGAATTAACTTATAAGGCCAAAGGAGTTGATATATATATATAGGTAGAGATGTGTATATGTATGTGTACTTTAAAAGGGAAAAAAGTGTAAAGTGAGTTGTAGAGGTTGGAGGTGGGGGTGGGGGGGCTAGATAGGGGAGGAAAAAAGTTCATAGATGATGGAGTGGGAGAAAAGAGATCTACTTGGAGAATATAAAAGTATAGAAGAAAAAGGAGAGAGAAAAAGGGCAAGTCTTTTTTTCTCTGGTAATGGAAAAAAGAGGGCAAGTCAAGAAAGAAAAAGTTCATGGTTGAAACTTTATATTGCCAGTGTTACTACTCTGATTATAAATTTACTGTTTTGGATAAAGTTAAAAAATATACTATATTATATTGTTAGAAAATTTAAATAAAAAGTTCCAAAAAAAGAGTCATCTTATATAAGCCTGATTAAAACGAAAAGCATATATAGAAATAAAATGGGAATTTTTAGAGGTCAGTGTATTATGATTTCCCAAGCTTAGTGAATGATTTTTTGTCCAATGACTTTATGGAACTCTTTATCTAAAAAAGGTCACTTTATGTAAAGCTGCAACTCTTTAAATGAAATGTGTATTTTAATCCTTTTTTTTAATAATGGTATATTTTATGTATTTAACAAAAGCTTTATTCAAATATTTGTATGTTATTTTTATTAACATTTGTTTTACAGAAATGAATATGACACGTTCAAAACTAGAAGACTAACCAAGTATTTTGATATGTTATTCATATTTTTAATTTGAAATCTTAATATAGATAAAAAAAAAAAAACATATAATTAAATTAAAACACATCAAATAAAGTGGATATGAGATACTTTCTCTGTCTCAATTTATGTGACATATTTCGGATTTCGAAATTCAAATAAGTTATTTTTTATCGTAAATTTTTCATATATCTTTTAAATATTTTGGATTGTCAATTATTGTGACTTATAGTACTTTTTACGTTGTTTACAAATATTTAAATTTCATTTCAAAAAATTGAAGATTTCATGCGAATATTTTCGATCAAATTTAAACTATTTGACTCTCAGAAAATGAAAATGTGTCATATAAATTAAGACAAAGTGAATACTATTTAATAAAAAAAACTTACTTTTGATTAAATAAAAAGAAAAGGTAAAATAATTGTTTTTTTCAAGGTATATGAATAGGTTAGTAACCATATACGTGTGATAGATATAATTAGGGGAGCAAAAAGTGCAAAAAGGAATAAAGTAAGGTGTAAATTTCCAGTAAAAGAATAAAAGTAAAAAGGGAGCCGCCATGAGCAACAAACAAGGTTCTTTTTTCCTTTTTATTCTTTATTCTATCATATGAGTATATATATGAGGTTGTGGGGGTGGGTGGGTGGGGAGGCTACAAAAGTTGATGCTGAACTTTTTGTCCACATCATTATTCCACGTCATCTTTTTGTGTTGAAAGTCTCCATGAAGTGGGACCTACACCAGGTAGGTTGCTTATATTTTTCAAAAAAAGTGGGAGTTATTATTATAAAAAAAGATAAGGCCACAAGGGGGGTGAATATAAAAGAAAGAGATAAAGCTAAAAAAAAAAAAGGAGGTCTTTTCTAATGTTTAGTTTAATATCAAATCTGGATTAGCTTTTGCCTATAAAGTATTTTCTTTTATTTAATCAAGATTGAGATTATGCTGACACATCATGTTCATGCCATTTAATCCTTAAGGGTGAAGCTCCAATATTTTTTTCCCTTCTTCTTCCACTCAATCCATCCATCAGCGTGAATTTTTTTTAGACGGCGTTTCACTATTTATATTGTATATATAGCAGTGATAAAATATGCTTACACTATTCATTTATAATATTTCATTAGATATATTATTATTATTGTTATTCCACTATTTACACCAAACTAAATAATTTAAATTCTATTGTTAAAAATTTGAATAAATAGTACATATTAATTAATTAGACGCACCTTCGTCCAAAATTCCAATCCTTACACTCTCCTAAGTTAAGTCCTAAGTACGCTTATTTTAAAATTTTAAAAAAGTAATTTCTCTAGGAAGATAACTTGTGGATATCATTAAAATTATGATCTACTAATTAGGCTATGCTTAAATAAGATCAAAATCGATGATAATGTTATATGGTGTCAGCGAGGTTGGATACATTTAGGTGGCATTTGAAAGGAAAATCCGTGAAAAAGTTTTTGACCAATTTTATCATATTTTCAAAATTTGAAGTTGTTTTGTTTGATAGACAAAAAAAATCATCAGCCATACTAAAACTTTACAATATGCCTACCTTAATTGGTGCAATTTCTTGATGGAATCAAAATTATCTTTTTTCTAATCTTAATCAGCCATATATATATATATATGGAAAAATCCTTTTGACCAGAATGATATTTTACTTATGTTATTTTACCTTTTTAAATATTTTTACCCTTTTAACTAAAGTATACCGTTTGTAGGGGTGCGCATCGGTCAGTTCAGTTCGGTTTTATGTGTTATTGGTTCGGTTTATCGGTTTTCGATTTGTAAATACGTCAAACCGATAACCAAACCAATAACATATTTCTTATCGGTTTTTGGTTAATCGGTTTATGATACTTAACAATTCGGTTTTCAGTTTAACCAATAAGAAAATACTCATATATATTAATATACACGATAAGAAAATTTTCATATAAACCATATGATTTTTCCAGCATTTGGCATGAAAGTAATTATCATAAAAGTAACAGTCATTTTTCTTGCAAGTTTAGACACTAGACAAATTCAAAGGAAAAAGTGTGAAAGTAACAATCGTTTTTCAGCAAGTCTAGGCAATTGGCACATTCAAGTTAGAAGTGTGCTTGCAATTACAGAATGAAACAATAATCAGGGTTTTAAGTAATACTGAGATTAAAGTAATAGGGTTTGTAAAATGTTATATAATTAAGGTTTACTGGTATAGGTATAAAATAGTAAATTTAGTATAAAATCTTATTGGGTTATCAGTTTAACCATTAATAAAATCATAAAATCGGAAACCGAACCAACAACCCAATAAAAAAAATTGCGAAACCGTTTAAAAATTGTTAGTCCAATAACCCAATATCAATAAATTAATAGTGTTTTTTCGATTCGATTTATTGGTTAAATCAGTTTTTGCACCCCTACCTGTTTGAATACTTTCAGTTCTTTTTAAGTCCCTCATCATTCATTCAACAGTTTTTTCTTCTTTAGACCAAGGAAAGAAAAGAAGTTATTAGACATGATTGCATATAATGTAATGCACACCACACATCTTTATCTCTTTATAATTAGTACCAACATTTAACAATGATGATGATGTCTAATGGCGGAGCTATAAATTTTGTTAAGAGGTGTCAAAAAATATAAAATAGATACACGATAATCAACATATAATATATTTATATAAAATTTAAATTTTAATCAAACTAAACAGTACAATTTTTTTATAAAAAAAATGTCACTTCCTAAGCATAAGATGGCTCCGCCACTTATTGATACTGAGTAAGAAAAAAACCTCCATATATAACATCAACGTCATAAAATCCTATTAACTTTGCATACAGGGAAAAAGAAGCGGAAGAATTATCTTCCTTTGAAGGTAATGACACATGTCATGATTTTATTGGTACGTTTATAAATATATTATTTAGTGGTCAAATATAAAAGTAATGTATTTTTGAAGGAGGGACGTATTACAGTTTACAGAAATATTTCACTACAAAATTACTTTTCTATTCACTTTACTTATTTACAATTGAGCTTAATACCTACCTATTTACATATTTTATTATAATATTCATATACTTTTAATGAACTTAAAAAGGTAAATCAAAAAATGAAAAGGAAAAGGAAAAAAAAAAAGGGTTTCCCCTAAAATAACGGAAAAATCATTGACTTAACTTAAAATGAAGGGGAACAGAGAAGTCATAAAAAGAGATAAGAACTGAAAGATATTTTTGGAGAAACCAAAAAAGGGGATAATTTTATACTTTAAACTTTAAAGTTGGATGCTTGTTATGGTAAATAAATGCTATTCCTTTTGGCTTTTTTTTCTTTAATCAAAGTCTTTGCTTTTCAAGCATCTATTAATATTTTCTATTTCTTTTTTCTAATTACTTTTATTATGTCATCTTTTTTCAAAATCAATCAGAATTTTTAGTAAATGTGTTGCTGTCTGAGTAGCTTTCAGTTCATAAAAATTACTAATAAAATAAAAAAAAATAAAAAAGGTAGAGGGAGTACCTTTTAAATTTTCAAGATTATGGTGTTACCTTTAATAAAGTTATATAGTCTTTTCTTTGATCAAAACAGGCTATTACTACAGAGCTTCTTCATTTCCAACACAAAACTTTTTCTTTTTTTTTATTCTATATATTAAAATGACAAGCATTGAAGTCCTTTACATGGAAAAGATGTATCCACTTTTTCTTTTTGCTTGCTTGTATAACTTATGCTTAAAAAAAATTTCAAAAGTTTGTTGAATATATATGTAGAATATTCAATCTTATGGTAATTGTAATTAGTTCTTCACATTTAATTTCCACTTAGTTGCCCTTATAGTTACCACTATAAATAGCAATATAATCCATAACTAGTTGTAAGTTACCTAAAAAGAATTGAATTTAAGGTGATTTAAAACTTCAAAAAAATCAAGTTTAATGGGAGAAATCTACAGTTATAGCTTGTTTCGTAGAGTCTAGCCTCATCGCGGTAATATATGCTTTAATTAATGAAGATTTTCGTCCAAAATTTCAATAAAATAATATAATAAAAGATAGTCTTTCCCTTAACAATCACATCGATCTTCTATCTCAATCCAAGTAGCAGAATTAACAAATATTATATTGAAAGGCAAAATCAATCAATATTTGAGTAGGGTTTTTATCAAAGTGTTACTAATGATGATGGTTATTATTATAAGTAGAATAATGTTATAAATAAGTAAAATATAATGTGAAAAATTGATTTAAAAAAATTTGATTATCTTCGTGAAATGTTATCACAAAAAAT